TCATCGGGGCAAGCCTCTGATGGTTACTGAAAATTCTTTGCTCCCGCGTGCCGTGGTCCCGCGGGGCACTCACACCTGCTGCCAGCACCAGCTCCGCTCGCACCCATTGCCAGCTCCAGAACCACTGCTCGCACCTGCTGCTGGTGCCCAGCACCAGCCTCGATCACTTGGCGCCATCAGCGGGTGCAAGTGGCGGCTGCCAGCCCTGATCGCCCCTCAGGGCTTCTCCACCTCCCCCTGCTCCTGAGGGGCAATTGGGGCCAGCAGCCAAAGTTCACATCTGCTGATGGCTCTGGCCCTGCTCACACCCGCTGTTACCAACAGCCCCAATTGCTCCGCGTTGTCAGCAGTTGCCAGCAGGACCGGTGCCATCAGAGTGTGGGAGCAGCTGTGGCAGGAGTGGGGCTGCCGGCAGAAAAGGGACCAGGGGCCGTAGTGGGAGGGGCCAGGCAGGGGCACAGAGGATGGGTTGAGACCTGCCTCTGTGCCCACAGCAGCCTCGTGGCCCACAGTTCCTTCCAAGGTGCACGAATTTGTGCACTGGGCCCCTAGTATCTTTATAAACTCTCTTCTTATTCCCAGTCCTTTTATTCCAGAACCTCTCCAACCGACACTCTGCCTTGCACATGAATTTTTTACTCCTATTTTTTCTGATATATGGAATTTATACATAATGTAAAATAAAGGGAGAGAGAGAGAGAGAGAGAGAGAGAGAGAGAGAGAGAGAAAGAGAAGAAGAAGTAAAGGAAGAAGGAAGGAAGTGAAGGAAGGAAGGAAGGAAGGAAGGAAGGAAGGAAGGAAGGAAGGAAGGGGAAGGGGAAGGGGAAGGGAACATTCTTTCTACAATCTTGACTCTGGATATCCCATCTGAGCTTGTCCCAGAGGTACCCAATAGCTACTTCAAGTAAGCAGTAATAAAGCACCATATGTATGGTGGGCTACAAGAAGTCTCCCCAATGAGATCTCATACATTTCTTCTATCAACCTAATTAGCAACTATAAAACAGCAAATGTCTTAATAGTAGCCTTATTATTCTTTTACAAAAAGGCAAGGAAATCCTGGCTTGTGTGGCTCAATTAATTGAGTATCCTCTGGTATACTGAAAGGTTTCAGGTTCCATTTCCGGTTAGGGCACATGCCTAGATTGCAGGTTGGATTCCAGTCATGGCACGTATGAAGGCCACCAATAGATGTTCTCTCTCACATCAATGTTTCTCTCTCTCTCTCTCTCTCTCTCTCTCTCTCTCTCTCTCTCCCATGTTTCTCTCTATTATCCCTCTCCCTCTCTCTCTAAAAATCAATAAAAACATTTTTAAAAAATCACAATAAGCATATCCTCGGGTGAGGATTTTTTTAAGGCAAGGGTGGGGAGAATATCGATAAGGAAAAGACAGAAAAATCAATAAACACTAAAGGTCAGCTGTTGACCTGCTCCCAGAACAGCAAAAATATCTTTGAAGACTGATTGTTTTCTTTATGGTGAACCTTCAGAGTAGCATATGTAAATATCTGACTTGGAGGAACATGGTGAATTTATCTAAAAAATGATGAAAACTGTTACTTGACCTCATTGGAAGAAATGGTTTTTTAAAAATCTGTCTTATTTTTGTATTTCCAATTCAGTGACTCCAGTCTGTGTGCTTTTGAGCCAAACTGTATTAAGAAAGAAGCTGACCTTGAACTTAGCATTAGGAAATTCTTAAGGTTCTTTTAAAGCACAATTAGTTCTCTTTATTTTATTTTAATCCATTTTGTGATCCAAAGACTTTCCTTCAACAAAACAAACTACTATGACTCATCATTAGAAAAACTAGAGAAATTAGATGGTAGAGAAGAAAATTCAGACATTAACAAGCTGGATTATCTGCCACCTTTTTAATTGTCCTGATATAAATCCCCATACAATGAGCGTATACATGGCAAAGACAGAAACTTAGATCCACAGGGAGGGAGGAAGTTTATAAAAAATGAAAGCTCCAAAAGTGTGATTTAAAAAGTAACATCTGTCTATCTGGTCCAACCCTTCTCATAATTTACTACAGAGTAACAGCAAGTATTGATTTCTGCCCTTCAGCTTCCTGATCTGCCATTCATCATGGCTTACCTCCCAGAGACTCATGTCAGAAAACCACTGTTCATCATGTTTTTTCATAACAACATATAATGAGCTACAGGAAAACAGAGAGAGAGGGGGAGAGAGAGAGAGAGAGAGAGAGAGAGAGAGAGAGAGAGAGTTTTCAATTATCTTCATTAGAGTGTCACAATGCCTTCCTCAGCCAATCTGCATTCAAGGTCAACCTAAAGTCAATTTTCTTCTCTGGGACAATTATATTTTAAAGAGAATATCCTGATAGAAATGCTTCCTTTATAACTAGCTCCATCCATATATTTCTTTTTGTTCAAGCATTATGAGACGTTTTTGTCAGCATTATGAGCCTTTCTAAGATGCCTGTGAAGAGCTTGTTTAAGAGGACACCTAAACTTTATGTGATAAAATAAGCAACAAAACTTCCAAGTCCTTCACTGAAAGCATTCCAGAGATGTCCAGTTCACTCAAAGGACCAAGATCCATTATCATCTATAAATTAAGTTCCTTCATCATGAAACTCATTTAACCAATGATTTAGTAGAATTGTGGTTCTGCAAAGAGCTTTGAGAAATCATCTGGTAAAAACTCAAGCCCTCAGAAAATTAAATGTCTAAACCTAGAGTAGCAAATGGGTTTCTTCTTAAGTAAAATTTTCAAAGGATTGGCAGAGGCCGCCTGGAATTCCAAATAGAGGATTTTGAGAGTTGGCCCGAACTCTGCAGAGGGTGTTGTCATTAATTAGTAATGTCTGCCAAGAGTACAGGAAAAGGATAAAAGGCTGACTATGGCCTAAATTACCTAAGATAGAGCACTTTTCTTAGGTTTGCTTACCATCTTCCTCCATCATCCATTCTAGTGTTATATCTTTCTGTTAACCATCCATCACCTTATAAAACCTTTTCAGAACTGTGTCCCACCTTAGTCATCCGTTCTGGAGACATCAAAAAAACTTTTCATCTTTCACTCTGGGACCTATTTTCCATTGCTTTAATCATCTTCATTGCTTGCTTCTACCGTCACTGCAATTTATTCACTTCCCTTTGAACAGTGGTGACCAACACTGAATACAGTCCTCTAATTTAGACTATAATCCTACCAATTTAGAATATAGACAGATTATTGCCCCTCATCAAATTTCTTCATACATCCTAGTATCACATGAGCTTTTTCATAATGTCATGTGACTAATGTCTACGCCAGGTCATTGCTAACTGTGTCCAGACATTATTTTAGAACTTTCTCATTGGTGTGATTGATGTTCAGAGGTTTAGCATCATAATAGTTTGCCCAAAAGAAGTCACCATTTTGAGGGTAAAAAAAGTTTGGACAAAAGTAAAAGATGTCTTTTAAAAAGAAAAAAGACGACCATTTTTAAAACAAAAGCAGATGTTAAAAATGTTCAAAATACAGTATTTTTGAAAAGTGAATTCAAAAATATCAGATATTTTAATGAGAAGTTTTATGGGATACCAAATTAAAACTTCAGGTGACACAGATCCATGCCCTGTTCTCTTATCACCCCTCCATGTCCATGCCACCCCAATTGACTTGTTCCCAGAGGGCTATAGGATCTGGGTTGGAGCTAACATAAAGAGAAATTATGATGCTAATTTGAGGAAGCTAAATTTGGCAATAAAACAATTTAAAAGTAAAATTTTAAACAAGACGACAGCTGGATTAATACAGATATGGGAAGGGTCAGTCCCAAATGAGTTGACTCAGAGTTGATGGATGTGCCAGAAAAGCTTAACTATATAGAGTTTAAACATGGAAAATATTCAGCCTCTTCAGGATTTATATTTTGGGTGCTTCGGGGATTTCCAGGACCACTCTGGAATGGAGCCCTTCAAGATTATCCTAGAACCTCTTTAGACCTGAAAGCAGGGGCTACCTAAATATCCAGCTGGCTCCTCATACTTTGCATGTCCAGATCTAAGTTTGACATCTTCCTCCTAAAGTTAATTACTCCTCCAGCTTTCCTGTTTCATTAACAGCATGGCCAGTTTCCCAGCGTCCAGGCTTGTAACATCAGAATAATTTTTGTTGTCTTCTCCTTAAATTCTTGCTGATTCATATGGCATTGTCCAGGCTTGTAACATCAGAATAATTTTTGTCTTCTCCTTAAATTCTTGCTGATTCATATGGCATCTAAGCCATATTTTTGGTATTAATCTCTTCCATTCCCATCCCATCCACTTTTTCCAGTTACTTCAAGTATACTTTTTTCTTGACTGCTGTAACATCTTCCCAACCCTCTCCCCACTTTCTTTCTCTTCCCCTAGAACCCATTCTATAATCATTTAATGACTATGATCTCACCAAATCAGTTTAAAATTCCAATCTCTGAGAGTCGGGACCTTCTGCAACAGAGACCCCAATCTACTTTTCCAAATAGGTCACTTGCTCCAGCTAGCATTTCCATCTCTATGATTTTCTTGGCCCATCCTTCTGAACCAGCTTCCTTCTTCCTCCCACAAATACAACTTTCAAAATTTTACCCACCCTTTGAGTTAATCTCAAATGCTCCTTAAACACATGTACCCATGGAGGGCAGCTGGATGAGGGCCGGAGCAGATTGCTGTAAGGCAGGGGGCACTCCAGAAATCCATGGATGGCTCCAGGGGAATTTATGAATGTCCTAAGTTTTATGAAGAAGAAAAAGTACATTTTTGCAGATATGACTTTTACCAAATTTAAGGAACCTAAAAAGATTTCGAGTTACCTAGAGATAACTTCCCTCCCAGCTTTCTCAGCATCAACCATGATGCACCTGCATTGGAGCCACTTGTCTAATTTCCCTCTAAACCATAGGGGATGGCTCTGTCACCCTCTTGATATCACCCAGTGCCTTCCCTGGCACTCCTCACAATTGTATTGAATATCTGCTAATTGCCATGCATAGTGCTCAATGCTGAGGGTAAGGAAATGAAAGGTGAGCTCCCTGCCTTCATGGAGCAAGTACAGGCTAGTGAGCAAGGCATACAGTTAAACCCACAATTAAAATAGTTTGTGAAAAATATTCTACTGGAATAAGCATTGACAAAGAGTATCCCAGTAGGGCCTGGGGTGGTCAGGCCATCTCTTTCAGAGATGAGGAATCGGCTAAATCTGGAGGATCAGATAAAGTAGCCAGATACCAGAGGAAGGAAGGATCTTCATGAGAAAGGAGTAGTTTGTGGGAAACACTCCCTACAGTATGATGTGAGTGGTATGTTTTAGCTCAAAGATGGAATGGACATGATATGGAAAGATTGCCATGAGTTTAGGACTCTGGATTTTATCATGAACAGCATGAAGGAGCCAGTGAAGAATTAAAAGCAGAAGAAGTACATGATACTATTTAAATTTTAGGGCAATCATTTTTGCAATAGGGTGAAAAATGCATTATAGCAGTGAATTCTTAAGAGACTATTCAGATCCTTTAAATAAATCCTATTAGAGGGCTAAATTAATATCATAGTAAGGGAGATGGGGAAAAATGAATCTAGAAATATTTAGAAATTAGAATCAACAAGATACAAGTACTAATTAGATGTAAAGAATGAGGTACAAAGAGGAATCATGAATAACACTTGCATTTCTGGCCTGTGGATCTTAATAATAGGTGGTTATTTCCTGAGACCAAGAATGCAAAAAATAGGGGAAGGAAACTCATGGGTTGAATTTGTAGTTCTTATAGGACTAGTTCCAGAAACTTGAGGGGGCAGCCATTTGCAGGGTGGAGATGGGTGAGAACTGGTCTTGGATGGGTGGGCTGGGGTCTCCACACTTATGCACTCAAGGTCCTCAGGGATGAAGCCTTAAGATTATATGCATTGGCATCCTATGCTGGAATTCTGGTCCTCTTAGCCCTGAATTGGGTCCCTGGCAGTAACAGAAGAATCCATCAACACCCATCCTGACATCAGCATCAAGGACAGGTAGGAGGGACTATGAATGAAAGTATGGAAGCCAATGGAATGTTTCTCACCTGCAGTTATACAGATGGAAGACATTGAGAGCCTGGAACAAAGGAGTGGCCTTGGGGCAGGGAGATTTGAGCAGGTAAGAGATAAGCAAGGTGTATCTCTTCTATCCTCCTATCTCCGTTCTTCAAACTTCTATTTCCTCCCTGAGGTGGCAGTTCTCCCCATCTCCTCTGTGCTCCCTCAGAGCCCCTCCCATTTTCTCCAGGTAGGAGACTTACCCCCAAACTAGACTAAAAGACAGGAAACGTGTCTGCTTGGTCTTTTCCCCCAGCCTCTAGGTACAGCACCTAGCACCCAGCAATGTACTGGTACGTGTTTTAGTAGTCACCCTTGGCCCCATGTGAGGCCAGGTGGGACTCCAAACACTCCTCTCCTTGGGGTACACATAATCAGCGTGGAGCCTTCCCTACTTCCTGTGTGCTCAGAAGCTGCCTGCCCTTCTGAACTGCAAACACGTCTTTAAAAATGAATCACTCCTCCTCAAGATCTACTTCAAAATTTCCAGTGAGTTCTCTTCTTTTTATCTTACCGCCCACCACCCAACCCCATTCCCCTTTGTTCCCTGAAATAAACCCTTCTTTTAAACTCATTTACACACTTTTTACTGGAACATTTTATCTAAATTTTGGTATATTCTGCCTATTTCTTACTCAACATAAAAGACAGCTTCTCTTTTTGTTTAAGTGTGGAGTCCTGCACAATATCTTCTTGGTGATAGGCCTTCTTTCAAGGCCTTTCTGAAATATTTTTGCCTGTGCCTGAAAGTCAGTGGAGTTTTGCACAGGGACTATAATGGCTGAGTCCAAAGCACAGTGGTATAGCTGTCTATTAACCATTTAATACCTCAAGTTTATCACTTTGATGAATAAATAAGTTGTCATTTGCCCAAAGGTCGTATTCTTGAGTGGTAATGGAGAACTCCATAGCTCATCTTCCTGATACTCATAATTTAGACCAATTTCTTCTAAGAGTATTTAATTGCCCTACCAGTTTGGCTCAGTGGAAAGAACATTGGCCTGTGGATTTAAGGGTCCTGGGTTTGATTCTGGTCAAGGACATATACCTCAGTTTCAGGCTCGATCCCTGGCTCTGGTTGGGGCACATGTGGGAAGCAACCAATTGATGTATCTCTCTCCATCAATGTTTCTCTCTGTCTCTCCCTCTCCTTTCCACTTTCTCTAAAAATCAATGGGGAAAAAATATCCTCAGGTGAGGATTAACAAACTAAGCATTTAATTAATACTCAATTTAATACTTCAATATTCAATTCTATTTGATTCTTCCTAAGACATTTAATTCAACAAATAGTTATTAAGCTCCTATAGAAAAAACTGGCAATTTTCTGTCTCTTCACAGGATATCTAAGATCATCTTGCAAGTTGACCCCCATGTTACAATGTCACCACTGAAGAGAGCTAAGTGTCAGCTGTAAACACTGTCTGGGCTGTCTTTTAAGCCAGCTCTGAAAATGTTTAGTAAGCCAGTGTCTTATCCTTGATAAGGATGTTTCCCCCTGTGATGGTTAATTTGATGTGTCCAACTTAGCTGGGCCATGGTGCCCAAATACATGGTCAAATGTTCTTCTAGATGTTTCTATGAGGGGGTTTTGGATAATATTAACATTTAAATCATTGGGACTTTGAGTAAAACAGGTCTCTACTTTCTCCCTGCCCCACCACTGTGTTGGGTGTCATTGAATCAGTTGAAAACATGAATAGGACAAAAGACTGGCCTCCCCTAAACAAGGGAGTATTCGGTCAGCAGGTAGCCTTTGGACAGCACAGACTTTTCTTTGGATCTCTAGCCTGCCAGTCCCCCTCCCCACTGCAGATTTTGGATTTACCTGCTTCCATAATCATGTGAGTGAATTTCTTCTTTAGACACACACACACACACACACACACACACACACACACACACTTTATTGGTTCTGTTTCTCTGGAGAATCCCAATTAATACACCCCCATTCACCATCTAGGTCTTTGAGGTGGACGATTCCATCTTGGCAGAAAGGTAATTTGGGTAGAGCTAGGTTATTGGAGATTATGCCTAAAGACCTATAAGTATAAGGGAAGAAGGGATTCTCTGGAGGTCTGATCCGTGACTGGGCATATGATGTGGGGGAAAGAATTCCTGGGAGAGCCAAGCAAGAGGAGTAGCCTCTTATAATGGTATCCTGGAAGCAACCTAAGAAATCATATACGTCTCTGAGAGGGTATCAATAATTAATGCAATTTAAGTAATTAAATTTAAAATATGTTGAAATTTGATTTTCAGGGTCCTTTGTGTATTTGTTGTGTATTACTCTGTGAAGTCATTTCATCCAAGACCATAGGGCAGTGATGGCGAACTTATGACACGCGTGTCAGAGGTGATACGCGAACTCATTTTTTGGTTGATTTTTCTTTGTTAAATGGCATTTAAATATATAAAATAAATATCAAAAATATAAGTCTTTGTTTTACTATGGTTGCAAATATCAAAAAATTTCTATATGTGACACGGCACCAGAGTTAAGTTAGGGTTTTTCAAAACGCTGACACGCCAAGCTCAAAAGGTTCACATCATTGCCATAGGGGACTGGAAGATTACCGACTCCACGTTAAAACCATTTTTCTCATACTGGTGTTGACATGGTGCTGGGACCCGTAGTATCTACCCTACTTTGTAGCACTGATTCCAATCCCTATGGCTCATAGAAAGCAGTAAAACTTTTCTTCTCTCAAAGTGTCCACACAAATATGTTCCATTTTATGCAATGAATGGGCTCCTGAAGATTTATGTGTTGCATACCTTTGTGAATTGCTTTATATATTGAAGACACATTAGAGGAGTTTGCTATTTCAAGAAACTTTGCAAGTATCTCATTTCTTAATGTCATAAGCCATTCTGATTCAAGATCACAACCTCTATCTAATGTATTAGCATAAGAAGTTCCATTCTGTGCTTAAGAGGTTTAATTAAAGTAAGATAAAACTAAACTTAATAACATTCAATTGCCTGAAAGTTATTGTAGAAATGTCTAATGTATTAGCAGAAAGTAGCTTAATGTCTCAAATAAATGCCAAGTTGTCCAAATCAAACTGATTGACAACCTAATTAGGAATAAATGTCACTGTTATCCATATTTTCCTACATTTTTTCAAAAGAAAACATTCACACGGTGAAGGGAATCAGAATCTATTTTTATATCCCTAGAGTTATAAACATTTGTATCAAAATATTTACAATTATAGTATATGAAATATCAATCTATTAAAGAAGAAGCCAAATACAGTACTAGAACAACCCACCAATGTAATGCAGTTACATGAGACATAAATGGCACAGAAACAAAGTAAAAGACATGGGACTACATGGTTCACTCCAGTCATAGTCTGACTTTTTAACATAATGTGATTATCTCTTTTGAATATATCTGATATGTAAGTATGCTTCTGCACGTAAGACAGCCTTCTATAATCATATGATAATTAAATGATAGTAAAAAGTTTATTATCCCATAGTTTTTGCTTGCCAGCCTCTCTACCTTCAACCCAGATAATTCGGTTGTCTGTCCTCAACATTCCCTTAACCAGAATGAACATAGAGAAATATACTTAGTAAGAATCCTTTTACATAAATACTAGCAATCATTGCATAACAACTCCCCATAAAGGAAAAGTATATAAGAAATGACATGAGGAGAGAGCTAGGAGAAGAAAAGTAGGCAAGATGTCTCAGATTCTCCCTAAGGTAGATCTTCTCAGGGTGATCAAGGAAATGTCTTCCTAAAATAAACCCTTTAGGCAGAATCTGAGATGGCTTAAAATAGCTGCTCCAGGCTAGAGCAGTGCCTGCTTAACCAGGAATAACATACTACTTCTAAGTCCTATATAGAAAAGCTCTGTGGCAACAGGCAGATCAATTACCATCTGACCGGGCACCACCAGAGATGTGTGTGTGTGTTGTCCTTAAAGAAAATATCTGCCCATCACCTATAATTTTACTTCTCTCACAGAAATTTTCTTATTTTCCTGGGAGCACAGGCACTCCATTCTTATCATGACTTAACTCTAATATGCTTAACACTTTCCAATTACATAGCACCTTTCACCCAAGGACCTATTGTTTGTTTTTGGTTTGTGTGTGTTTCAAAATAAGCTTCCAGAATTGTCTTGCCTCACCTATGAAGCAGGATAGGCAGGCTTTCTGAAAGCTGACCACTCCAGCCAGTGTGAAAGCCAGAGTTGCCTCTGGTCCCCAATATGGATAATTAGATAAAACATCCTAAAAAGTTTATAATTTCGAGGGAGAGTAACAGAGTGCGTTACAAGGAGCTATGTCTGTCTCTCTCATTCTATATTTAAAAGAATCATTGCTTGCAGGGAGAGGGAATCCTAAAATCATAACCCTAATATAGCATTGTTGCAAGACTGCCCCGTGAGCCCATAATTAGTGTGGTGCTTTCACCACAGAATTGGTCGTTTGTAGCATTACAGAAACTCCAGAAGAGCCGCCCTGGCTCTAAGCGAGAGGCCTAGCAAAGTCCGTAGCAAGAAGTCTCCAGAAGGAACAGCTGTGTGAGGGCTGGTCTGGGTTCCACCACCCCCCACCCGCCCCCCAGGCCTTCCACTGTGAAAAGTTCTCTTTCTTGATTTAACTAACCCACCAACTTGGCTTCATGACTATGTCCCTTCTGACCATTTTGTCGCAAATACCACTGAATTGTACAGAGCTAAATATCTGTTTCCAAGAGGGATAATGGCGTGCTAGCCAAAGCCCTCCTGTGGGCCCTTCAGACTGGAATGTGATGTTTTGCTTTGGGTCAGGAAGGCAGGAGGGCTTCCAGACTTAGCATACTCAGTACAAAAACAAGATCTGCCCTTGTTGGAACTTGTACCGCTATTTTAACTTGGTGCAGTAGGTCTGAGGACCACAGTGCAAGACCTAGAATTCACCCTCAGAAGCGGAGCCAGTGGTATGGTAGCTGGTGGGCCTCCCGCAGTGTGTGTAACTGAGAACTGGTGGCTGGAGAGAGGCTCTCTGGCCCACATCGAGGGAGCATGGAAGTTCTAGCCAACTACTTTCTCCCAAGGGCAGGGGCTTGACAGTAGGAAACCTCCTGAGTAACGGTTTGGGTTTCAGCCTCTCCCACCCTCATGTCCTCCCTCCCCCTCCCCCCTCCCCTGGCTTGGCTTTTCCTGTAGATGGTTTGGGTTTCAGCCTCTCCCACCCTCATGCCCTCCCTCCCCTTCCCCCCTCCCCTGGCTTGGCTTTTCCTGCAGAGAAACTTTCACTTCCCTCCCAGATTCCATGGCTCCCTCCTCCCCACCCCCCAGATCCCCATACACTTGTTCAGACTTATTTCTTTCTCAGGACCAGGTAGAGAATGCCAATGATGAAGCTAAAGCAGAAGCAGATCCAGGTTAGGATGAAGCAATAGCCGTGGTGGCTTTGCGAGTATTTAGTTCCATAACCGCTCGCATAATGATGAGTGTAGATGGACGCCCCGACCATAATGCAAAGCCCTGCAATGGAAAAAAGAAAGTTTAGGTATTTTGTTTGTTTGGAGGGAGGAGAGGAGTTATCTTGGTTTCTTTCTTTCTTTCTTTCTTTCTTTCTTTCTTTCTTTCTTTCTTTCTTTCTTTCTTTCTTCTTTTTACATTAAAATCAAGAACAGGTTTTGTAATTTTAAAAAGATCCCATTTTCTTCATCTGCAATGGGAAAATGAAATCTGGCTGTTTGGCCCCAAACAGTAGTTCTGCTGATCCGCCCTGATCTGAGCTTGGTGGTCCTGTTGATAAATTAGAGTTGCTTAGGCTCTCACATCTGCACTGGGTTGTGGCTGCAAGTGTGAAGTGAAACAGAGAACCTTATGCCCACAGCCCAGCCCGTGTAGGCAGACTGCCCCGGGGTGCAAGTGTGTGGGGAGAATGAAAGAAAAGGAGAGTGGCAATAATTGAGAGCAGCGTGGCAGTGGTTTTATCTTTCGAGGACTCCCACCTATCGGCCATCTTCAAGCGTTTTGTACACAAGTGCTGCTGGTGGGCGGCCCGCCACTTGGGGGCTGCCTCAGAGCACTAGACTTAAACAACAAAGCAGAAAAGGGTTCTTATTCCAAGCAGCTAGCAGGGGTTTTCAGAAAGAGAACAAATAACCAGACCCATGTGCTTCGAGGACTCCCACCTGTCTGCCCTCTTCAAGTGTCTCATACACAAATGCTGCTGGTGGGCAGCCCACCACCCCTCGGGGGCTGCCTCAGAGCACTAGACTTAAACAAAGAAGCAGACAAGGGTTCTTATTCCAAGCAGCTAGCAAGGGTTTTCAGAAAGAGAACAAATAACCAGACCCATGTGCTCATCTGTTCAAGTTGCTGGGAGCACCCATGGTAAGATCTACTTAAAAGCTTTGCCTGGGTAAACTGGAGTCTGCGCCTGATACTCACAGCACACCAGCATGGTGGCCCCCGAGAGGAAGAAGCGGTTTCCCTTCTCCATGGTGAAGAGCTGGAACACGAAGACCACAAGGGAGATGACGGAGAAGATGATGGAAAGGATCATGAAGGCCTGCACTGCCTTGAGCGCATCTGTGGACACAGGGGCAGGAGAGCAAGGGTGTCAGGCCAACCAATCCC